ACATCGGGCGAGCTAACAACTGGAGCCCGAGTTTCAGAGCTTAGGAGCTTGGAGATCAGACCTCCGGCCCCCGGCTGGTTCATCCACCAGATCGGTCGAGACATTAAAGCAGAAATTATAATTTTTTGAAGGCCATCGGAGTCAGCGGCTCGACGCGATTCGGATCGGTTCGGAGGGTTTAATGCCAATTGTGTTGACGCCGATTGGCGGTAATGTTAATAATGCTCTATGACGCAGGCAGGGTATCGAAATTATATATATACAGGATGTCATAAAGTTTTTAATTACTTTGTTTTTAGATATATTTGAATAAAAGTTCATATTATCAGATAATTAGAACAGTTCTTATAAGATAAAGTTGTACACCTGGTCGTATACGTAATATTAGGAGTGACTCTGAGAAATAAGAACTAGAATGTAAATATAGTGAAAAGAAAAGTCCAACATTATATTTGGAGCTTAATATCATAATAAAATATCGTAAATTTTGATTATCAGTACTTTTTTTAATATTGAATAATTAAGAATTTAAATTTAAAACATAAAGATTTTTGAAACATTTTCCATAAATTTTACTAAATTTATTTGTGTGTGATTACATTGGTTCGATATAATTATTAAAAAAAAGTAAAGATATTTTGCACAATGTTAAATATCGATTTATATATCGAATTTTGAGTCAAATATTAATGCATTACGAATATATTGATATTTTCTGCCTTTCTAGAATGAACTCTTAAGAAGAAGAAAATATTACAGAGATATTTTTGTATTGCAAATGATTTGTTTAGAAATGTAGGAACCTTAAATATTAAATATTTATTAAAAATATAAATTATAAAGGGTATTTGGAATATATCCCTTTCAAAGACCTACTTTCTGGTTATACTACGTCGCCATTTGCTGACGTAGCCACCAAATTTTAAACATTTTTTTTGGCTGCTTGAATGGCGCGAAACTTGACCGTAATGGTTATCCAAAGTGTCCAAATAACCGGCCTGGAAGTGCGTCACTGGAGGAGCAACAGCATCACTAGCTCCGTTATGGGAAATAGCCAAGGGAGGACTCTCTCCCAGAAATGGTTCCAAAGATTTGTATTTTGGCGCGCAGTTTGAAACTTGAGCCCGGGTCTTGCGTGTCCAGTTTTTGGCCAATTTGGATGCGATTACGAGACGACGTCGCCACGCGCCAACGCAAATGAAACACTTTATGTACCACTTTTATTTGAAACCATTTTTTTTGTTTTTATATATATTTATGGCCAAGTCTAGACTGGCTTTACTCGAAACTGAGTTTGTGTAATGCTAATGGAATGTGTCGCCGAAGTGGGTGTGGTTCTAATAAGCTAATAGTCTTTATTCGATACACCAATTACCACCGATTTTTATAGTATGCATAAAGCTGTCCAGTTGCTCAGATGGAACTTACCTATACCAACGTGTTACTTATCAAACCAGAGCCAACTTCATAACATTGTAAAATACATCTAAGAGATACTTATCTTCTTGTTGTTCTCGCTTTTTTTTATAATCCCTCTTTCAACAAACTGATTTTTGTTTGTCATTTCTTGTGGCTCTGAAGATATGACACTAAACTACTGGGCCTTAGAATGTATTTAAATCAGCTTAAATTTATGAAAATATATGGAATGAAATAGGTTTTAACAAACAAAAAGATAATTTTTAAACTATCTCAGTTGGAAACACACTTAATACGTGATATAAAACAAAATATGTTTGTAGATATCTGTGAGATGTTTCTAGATTCCCTAAAATGATTTCAAATTTATTCTGAGATCTAAAGTTTAATTTTATTGAACATATTTTAATAAAAACTGATATGTATTTCTGGAAATATTTTTTGGATTTATTTAAATGACTTATCACTTTATATTTCTATTTCTAAATAATTACTTAATTTTGATCATATCAAAAGAACTTATAAAACTGAACTTATATTTTTTAATTGCCAAAGATTTTAAATTTGTCATTTATGTTTTTCTTTTAAATTTTTTAATACACTTTAGTGCATTATTTTTCAGACATCATAAATGTCATCAATATATCACCTGAAATAACCACTGTAAACTGTATATAATTCTATAATTCCCCTAAAAATACATTTTTTATGATAGTGACCCAATTAAAACCGAGCAAAGACTCTTATTTTCTACAGATCCCCTGAACAGGTGCATAGCCTGAATTCCCACAATTCTAACTTGTCTGCTCGTTCTCATTAGCATCAGCATCTCATCGGATAGGATAGGATAGGATAGGATAGGCTAGAGAGCTGAGAGTTAAGTCCAACCAGATCCATAAACATAAACACAACGTCTAGACTTCATTAGCCATGTAATGTTGCAGAATTTATGTGGCAGGCACTTAAAAAAAAACAACGATACTCGAAGGCATACATAACATACATATTTCTGTGTTTATATATCGCATCGGGTCTAGACTTTTAGCTAAAAACTAGTATTTTTGGGTGGTGTCGCAGGGGGGGGGGACTGATATATGTTCGATCGCATTTTAAGCTCATTTTAAATTCATTTTAAGCTCTTATATTTATTATGCACAAAATATGCATTGCTGGCATTATCAGTTGAATGCAATTTCGGGAAATTTTCCATCGCATCACGAGACAATGAACGGAATGTACTAACCAGAGAGTGTGCGAGCAAGGGAGATAGACAGAGGTAGAGAGTGAGCGAGCAAGGCAATTGTGAGATAACAGCTGCTGCCTCTACGTTCTTATCAGCCCCCGCTGCCCCCCCCCCCACTCCTCTACACCCCTCCTCTCCTTGTGCTATGGAACTGAACCTCAAGTTGACAGCAAAAAAAAAAGAAACAATTTAAATTCCAAATGTATAAAATAGGTAAACTATGGCTTTTATTTATTGATATGGGAGAGCGAAGACACAGATGCGTTCAAAAAAGCGTACGAAAAATTAAGACTTTTAGCATGAAAAAGTTTTTATACTCTTTTTGTTATTAAGAAATATTAAAAACATAATAATATTTATTTGAAATAATTAATAACTTGAAAAGGAAGATAAACAGGAGGAAATTCAGCACATCAGAAATTCCTAAAGAGCCCAAAATATTTATTTTATGATTAGGGATAGTTTTAATAATATTAAATTAATATATTATTTTAATTTAATCATTTTTAGTTAAATCATTAATAATTAATAAAAGTATAAGGTAATTTTTAAATAAAACCTAATATTTTAAATATATTCTAGACAAAAATATATTTATAAATATAAAAATAATAAAATAATTACTAAAACAGGTTGAGAATTTTTCCATAAAAGCTCAATATTTTGGACTTTTGTCAGCTTCTGAGTCACTAAACCCTTTAAGAATTTTGTATTATTATTATAATTAAATGTGTATTGTTATTATTTAAATAGATATACTTTTAAATATACCTTCTACAAGAATTTAAAGTATTTTATTAAAGCAAGAGCATTTAACAGGTTCACAATTTTCTACGTTTTAATGCCGTTTCAATTCTCATTCTTCTTTGGCATTTCTGGTTCCAGTAAATAAAAATAAATAAAATAAAAGTTTTACTATTTTGACCGCAACTGTATGTGTGTGCGTGTGTGTGTGTTTATGAGAGCAAGAGCGCCACAAAACCCAAACAAAAAAAAATAACGTAACGTGAAATAAGTGCGCTCTGTGTGGAACTTGTGTGTGGAATTCAATCCAGAGAGAGGGAGAGAGAGGGTTGTTGTTTTTTTCCGCTCACTCACACACACTCAGAGACGACACGACCGCCTTTTTGCGCCACAGAAAACCGAACGAAGCAACGACGTAAAGCAAAACGAAAGCTTACGCGACGTAAAGCAAACCGAGCGCTTACGAAGGCAACGACGAATCAGTTGTCAGTTCGAATCCAACTAGAAAGTTTCGAGCAAGTCCGTGTCTCTACGCTTGCGGTTGAAAGCCACGAGGTCGTTCAATTTATTCCGTTTCACAGTTTCACAGCCAGCGTTTATACGTTTTGAAACACTTTCGTTGATCGCTGGAAAATCTCCATATAGTTTGTTTCAAATAAAAAGTGAAAAATATAATATACATAGAAAAAGAAAACAAATAAAAAAAAAATACAAGTGAAAGAAAAATAGAACGTAGAAAAGAAGCAAAGGCCGCGTTTCAGCATTAAATAGGCGAAAAGAGCAAGGCACACCGAAATAAAAAAGAAATACATAGCGATGCTTGGATGATCTTCGTTTCAGTCACGTTGTATACACACACTCGCAAATAAACACACGCACATAGCCCTATATAACACACACACTCGAACATACACACACACACACACTCGCATATAGCGAATATACAAATACGAATACGGTTTTTTTCGATTCGAATTGGAGTAAGCTTCGGAAACGTGTTTATATTAAAATTTTGTGTTCCCCATTTGAACTTTAAACAACTTTTGAACGTCGCAGCTCCACCCCCGCTTCCTCAACCGTTCGGTCTTTTCATTGAATTCTCATACGAATTCCAATTAAGTGTAGTGTGTGCGTCCAATTGGCATGAATTGATGACGTGATCGGTGTGTGTTGGTTCTCTTTAGCACGCACACTATTGCGACATCGCGCCATAGCCGCTCTCTTTAGTGTTCCGGCCGCGTGTTCGCCGCTCGTTCTCTCATTCTCTCTCTCTCTCTCTCTATCTCTCTTTTGTTGTGCTTTTTTATTGTGTTTTATTGTTATTGTTGTTGTTAATTACACCCATTTATAATATATATTATTTTTTATATATACGCAGCTTAAGCAAAACGCCGCAAAAAATAAAGAATTGTTCTGTAATCCCAAAAGTGTTTGTGTGTGTGAGCAAGAAATTATGCACGAAGAAATCTAAAATCTAAAGAAATAAATACGCAGCAAATTCCGTAATAAAATAAATAATACAAAAAAAAAAAAAAAAACGCACAAGTTTTGCTCAAAACAACAACACAAATTACCGCATAAAAAACAAACAAACAACAGTGCAAACTAACAAGAAAAATAAATTTAAAAAACAGTGCCAATTTCAAAAGTAACTAAAAACGCAGATCAGCAAATCCACAAAGTCAACAGAAACTTTAAATAATCGCAGTCAATAACAAAAGGAGCAGCAACTTTTGGCGGGTAAATAACTAATTAAATATTAAATAAAATAATAAATAATAATTAGTAAATTGATTCAGGAAATGTTTTACTAGGTATTTCTCAGGTATTTTTCCAACTGTAATCTTTTAAAATTAGTTAGTTTTTAGGGTTTTAAAAAGTAAAACTAAAAGTAAAACTGTCACTTTTGTTTTGTTTCTGTCCCTTTTTAATAACTTATAACTTATAAAAAAGTAATACTTCGCATTAAAAACTCCTTGATTTATTTAAAGTAACAACTCAATGTTTATTTATTTTAAAATAATTGTAATAATTACATCAATAATTGCAATATTCCTTTATTTGTAACTACTTTTGGCGGGAAAATAAAACTTGATCAATTTGAATTTGTTTAATAAACAGTTTTCCGGATTATTATTACAGCTCTTAGCTAAAATACCATGTTCTTTTAATGTTCTAAAAAGATTAATAATAATTAAGTGACTTACAAAGATAAAATCTTTAAATATTTCGAGATTTCTTCGAAGACAATTCCTGAAAAATGCTTCTATATTCTTTTTTCTATCATATTTTCAACAATAAATTTAAAAGATTTTTACAAAGATGAAAGAATTATTTAAAAGTTTTATTTATAGTTAGTTCTTTATATCAAATGATTTCTAAGCTTCAGAAAATATTTTATAAAATAAAATAATACATAAAAAACTTTGTATTGATACTGTGACTAAATATTGTGTGAAATCTTCCCAGAGTAATCCAAAATGAATCTTATATCAAAGAAAACCCCATATTAAACTGTCTAAAAAAATTCCGTAAAATTATTTAAAAATTGTATTTTACCTTAAAAATAACTTCAAATAAAAACAAAGCACCATTAGTGTCTCAAAGTGTTTTACAATCAATTCACTTTCAAGATCAAAACATAGAAACGGAACTAAAAAACCAAAAAGCTAAAGCTGTATAATGTCAAATCCAAATCCAAATCACGTTTAATGCTCACCCAAAAGCTGATCTCTCTCTCTCGGTTCGTTCAGGGCTTTGATTAGTCCGTTTTGGGGTGTTAGTTGTACTAGAAAGAGGGAGAGAGAGACAAGGGGGGACCTGGGGGAGATCTTAATTAGAGCACTGCTGATAATGGCACTAAAAATAGAATTGGAACCCAGCGCAACACTGATAGCACCGAGCGAGGAGCGTGTGTGTCGTGCTGCTCATTTCTTTCTGTTTCTGTTTTTGCTTCTCCTCGATTTCATATTATTATTACTTATTATTATTAGTATTTTCTTTTTCAAATGTTATATTGGACACTTGAAGGCCGATTTGTATGCTCGCACTATATATTTTTAAATAACTCCAGTATTATTTTTTCAACATCAATATTGACATTGAAATGAGATTAGGTTTAGTTTTTCGTAGCTCCCCAGTTTGGTTGGCAGCCACAAGAGGCCTAAGCAGATAGGGTTTTATCTATCCGCAAATGTGCCAAGGTACAGCAGCAGCAGCTGATGGCCCAGGGAATATGGTAGTGTATATAAATATATATATTTTTGGGTCTTTTATCATATCTTGAGTGTTTGCTGGAACGTGCCGCGAGGTGATAACAGCCCAAGTGTGCGAAAAGTTTGTCGAAAAAAAACTGTAATTACAGAGAAGAAAGTAAGAGAGGAAATTATAGGAAGAAGGAGAGAGTATAAAAGGTGGAATTTAAGTTAATTAAGGTATGATTTGTTATTAAAATAACAAAGAAGTTAAAGGAAGAAGAAAAGAAAGTGCATAAGGTAGAATTTTAGGTTAATTAGTGTATTATGTGGTATTAAATATAACAAAGACGGAAAGGGCTTATAAAAGGGAATATTAGGTTAATTTGTGTCATGTATTGTATTAAATAGAGCAATGATATTGTCAGTAAAATGTTATAATTATTTGTCAGGAAAGGTGATTTCTGAGAGAATTTAAAGGGAGTAAACTGTATGACGTCTATTAAAGTTTACTAAATCATTCATTTCTGTATTATTATGTATCAAGTCTTTACTAAAAAAGTCTTACTAAAAAAGAACTTAAGACGAACTATCTCAAATTTTTCTGCCTCTGAGCAAAACTTTATTTAATTCAGTTAAAAGCTATATTGATTATTTCGTATTAAAACTTAAATTATGCTGATTACATTTAATATTATAATAAACTCTTTAAATCTGAATACTGAACTTGGAACCCGACAACAGAAATCAATGCTAAACATTATTCATTCATTATTTATTTTGAATACTTTTACTTGTTTAAAGTTTCATAAAGTATAACCAGTTAGCACAATGTTGTTTTCAATTAATTTTTATTCTCCTTTATTTATTTTTATAGACTTTGTATACGTTTACAAATGCCAATCAAGTGCGTTAAGTGATCGATAGAGGATTGTGTATTTTGCGGATGATGATTAAGTCGGATGATCGCATCAAAGTTTTCCATGCGTCAAAGTTTTCCCAAGCCTCTGTCTCGGCTGTCAGTTGTTTTGTCGTTGGAATGGATGACTACTGAGGGTTACATTCTTGGTTGACTTTTCCTTTGCCCCGTTCTCTTTAAATTATTTTAATGAATTCTCAATATAGACTTTTGCTTTTTGCGCTCTTGCATTTGCATTTCTGCTGCATTCCTTAGCTGATTTCGATTTCGATTTACTCAGAATCTGAGCTATATAGCACTATATAGTGCTCTCTCCTCGCTCTCCTCAAGTAGCGCGTGTTCCTCTCGCACAGTGCACGTGCCACCACTTTTAGTGATAGATAACTGCACTTTCAATAAGCTTTTATTTGAATAAGCTTCCGCGATAATTGACTTAATAAATTATTAAATATTATACAGCGTAGAAAAAACCAGAATGCAATGCACTCTCTGACAGAACAGACAGTTGGCATTTTCTCCTCGTGGATTTTCTAATGAAAACTAATGAGTAAATCATGCAAAGTAGCTCTACACTCAGCTTAGAAAAGTGGAAACAAAATATTTATTAACACCCACTGTTAATGTCATAAGTGTAATTAATATGAATGCATAAATTGTGGAAGGGAGAATTATACTTTGTTAAGTTGCAAAAATTAAAATATTCAATAAACTTTGTTAACATTGTTTTAAAATTAGAATACTATTGGAATAACTTGTAGCAGAATGAAATTTTACACTTTTGTGAAGCTTGGAATTTTATAAAATAATTTATCTTTAGATTAAAGCTCTTTTCCTTTAATTTTCCTTGCGATTTTTATGTTGTTTGTTGATTTAATATATCAAAATTAATACTTAGATAAATATATATATTTATAAACAATTTTAATCAACAAAAAAAAACCCTTAAAAACCTATTTTTTAACCCATCATAAGTGTCACACGAAAGACTAATGTAAAAAAAGAGTGCAGTGTCGCAAAAAAAGATTTGTTGTCCAAGGTTTATGTTTGGCATTGTCAAGGGGTTAAGGCGGGGCATGAATGTGGGTGTTGTGGGTGGGTTTGGGGGGTGCGAGGGTCGTGGAGGTGGTGATAAGCTGACCGGGGAAAGAGACACATAGATAACATGGCCAGCAAGTGAGTAAGTGAGCAAAAGACACAGAGACAGAGACAGAGACAGCCACATGACAACAGTTTATTTATTTTTTTTTTCTGTGGCGGGAATGCATAAAATACACTATATTGTGCATTGCTTTTGCTATAATGCTTTATCTCAGCTTTATCTCTTGGGGGCTTGATGATAACACACACATTCAGAGGCACACAAGAGCAGGGAAACCGGGGGGAAAACTTGAGGAAAGCGTCCAGTGTCCAGAGGGAATTAAAGAGGAATTATAGAAAGTTCACCGGTTGAGTGACACTACTCAAAGGGAAGAGAAAATACTAATGGATTTATTATTATATATTCTATATCAGGTGAAATTTTACTTTATTTAAAGCTGCAAATATATTTAAGATATAATTTTCTAAATACGTTTTTAATAAGAAACCTAAATGATTTCTAAAAGCTAAGTAATTTGATTAACTAAGACCATTTCTAGATTATTATCTTGAGTCTGCTGGTTTAAAATAAACAACCTGTAATAAAACCAATTTATTATATTTCTTGGTATCCAAAACCCATTTAAAATTTGTTTATTTTAGTTTTTATAGCTATATATTATAGCTATTGATTGTTATTTCAAATACCAAATACCAATTAACCGAATGTAAAGCCATTAACATATAGATTATACTTCGATTAAAGTTAGCAAAATAATAGCAAAAGGAAACCCAAGTATGTTCATTACAAAATCATTAAGAGTTAATTGTTTTACACATATATATTATTTTTAGATTAACCTTTCTAATGTAACATGAATTTAACCGAAAGTTACAAAGAGAATGTTTAATAATCTGATTAAACATTAGGGATTTTCTTAAATATGAAATTATTTGGAATACGCCAGACTTGTCAAAAAACACTATTAAAAGTTAGATTGACTTTACTTTCTCTGTAAGTGAACTTAACTGAAAGTTTAGATAGTTATTAACTAAAAGATTAAATCACTCTAATTTATTCTTAAGATTTTGGATTATTTACATAATATATTTGTTGTATTTATATATTATTATTATATTTAATAATATAATTAGGTTGACTTCACTTGCTCAGCTCAACCCTAAGATCTAAACTTAACATGAACTTAATTGGATGTTAACAGAATAGGTAACCTGTAAATTAACCTTTCTGAATTTTTAAATTATAATTATATTTTTCATAATTAGCTTGACTTTCCTCTCCCATCTCAACACAAATTCCAAAATAAAACTTAATTAGAGTCTAAAACAAGGCTCTCTAATAACCTAAATATAGAAATTCTTTATCAGCAGGTTAAGCCATGACAGAGTTGATATTACTTTGGGTTTTAATTCACTTTCAAACCAAAGGTCGTACAAGGTTTGGTTTTATAGAGAGGGTGACAAAACACACTCAACTCGCACACACACTCTGGCACACACACACACACAGAGATCCCCCCAATACAAAC